AACCGCAGGATCTATGGGATTTTTATATTAATTTATTTTTGGACTGGTGTTATACGAGTACATATACAAATTTTTAACGTGGAAAAATAATAGAAAAGACAATTTAAATGAAATATGTCGATCTTAGCTTTTCCAAACCTCAATACAAAAATCGTAGTTGAAATTCTGGCAAGTTTATGCTTTAAATCATATAGTTTTGAGGGATTTATCGATTTCATTGTGTCTCCAATGGCTTTTACTATCTACTGCAATACAACAGAGTAGCGCTGAGATCCCCTAAGGTGCAGATTTACCCTTCAAAGGAAGAGGAGAAGCAAAACTTTTGAACTTTTGGAGCCGAATGTTATTGTTCTGCATAAGCATCGAAGAGTGTTTTAATTATATGATTATTATTATCCTGTACGCTAGAATAAACTTTCGTGAATATTATTTTAAAGTTTCGCTGCAGAAATATCAAATCGCCCTTTATTGTTTTCAACATTTGAAGTATCACTAAGACCGAAAATAAAGAAAAAATAATCCAAATACGGTAGTAAAATAAATACCGGCAAATTTTGAATTAGAACAGCTCAGTACTGATGTACACATATTTACTTTAAACTTATTAATTTCATATCCGAATATATTTATAATATTTACATTTGATTCTATACTTCTCTATGATACCTAATTTTAGACCGACAAAATAATTAGAATGGCCAAAATAATTCAAATATGATAGTAAAATTATAATCAGCAAATTTGGGCATTCCATAGCACTGAGGCAGATATTTATTAATATAATAATATCGGAAATACATTAATGATATTTTCATTTCATTCTATAAATATACTTGTAATTTGTTTCTCTATACAAGGAATAAATCAGTGCATTTATATTAAAATACATACACATCACATCCTTAATACTTAGAGCTTATAAAAATAAAATTTTAACAATAAAATAAAGAAGTTGTAATAAATTTCATGAATTATTTATATAAATTTAAATTTAAAAAAATCTGCTCATTGTCATTTTCGTGACAGGTGGGAATGAAGATTTGAAGAGTAAAAGAGCATAAATTGTAATTACTAAATTAAAAAAATATAATTACTTAGTTATATAATTTTGTAATACACTTTTTAATTTTCATTGAGCTTTTAAGAACAGTGGTTTTAAGGAATTATCCACAATTTTGATGAACAATATTCGACAAAAAAGACACAATGTCTACATAATGAATGCATTTTAATATATAAGTCGGTAAGAAATAAAATTAAGTATTTAAAAGTTAAAATTCATAATTATTCTATTCTATAAATAAAAATGAGACAAAAAATATGTTGACTCCATGAGGTATTGAAATCGTGAGAAACTTTAGTTCGAATGCATTTTAAATCTAAACTAAAATAATATTTTGGTGATTGTAGTCGAACTTCATGATGCTTAAATCGTATCGTGTACCTGTTATAAAGCATGATTTAAGCCTTTAAGTCGTAATTTAGACAAATTTATAGTTTGAACAAAGAAAAAATAATTGAAATAGCAATAACGCTTGTATAAGCATTAAATTACTTCAGATGACATTAATAAAGCTACATCAACTAAAAACTTTAGAGAAAAGTTTCATGAAGATAAAAATTAAAATTGGCATCTTATTGAAATTTATTATTGTTTCTTATGCAAGCACAAACCAAATTACATAACGTGATGATTTATAAAAAATATAGAAAAAAATCAAGTTATTTTATCCAAAATAACACTGTAGGTAATTTTAATTCTTAAAAAACGTGTTTTCAAAGAGCCGATGAAAATTATAAATATATATATATAGACACATATATACTAAATTTTAAATTATATTTGTTTATAAACCTTTCTTCTATTTACATTTACATTAGTTTACATTTATCTCATACATAGTTACAATGATTAGAATGTCGCATTTCACAGAGTCTTAGATAATATTCTTCATTTCTTTAATCAGAATGTACATGCATTTTATTTTTAAAAAAACCGATCTAACTTCTTGGTTCATATTTTTTTTTCAAATTCATGGAAATAACATTTACATAATGTATTCATTGACTTCCTCTAATATGCTCTATAGAATGTAATTTAAATAATCAATTCTGAAGTATTAATTTTTAAAACATGATTTCTAGGCCATTTTTTTACGAATTTAAAATATATATATTTGAATAGATAGAGGTACCAGAAGAAATCGAATTATGGAATATAAAATTAACGATAAACCTGGAGCATACATAATTTGTAATAATAAAAAGATAGAACATGGTTAATCCTTTTTTCTGATGCATATTAATTCGTATAAATATTTCAATTTGAAATTAGTTTGTATTAAAATTTTAAATATTCTTGGAAAGTTTGATTTATTGTTTTAATCAAGAAATTAATGGAATTCAAAATATTGAACGATAATGCAATCTTGATTTATTTTTTATATTTATTTGAAAAAAAAAAGAAATGATTAGAATATAAAATTAATATTTACCATATTTATTTATTTATATTCACATTCCTTTTATAAATTATTATTTAAAACTGCATTTTCTTCGATGTTAATAGATATTTTATTATATTTCCTGACCTATTAATATTATAATAATTATTTATAAATATTATTCTTAAAGTGATATTATTAATAAAATTATAAAAAGTTCTACTTTACTAAGAAGCGATGAATTTTACACAATTATTGGATAAGTCTTTTTTTTTTCAAAAAGCTATTAACTGCATTCTTGATATAGGTTAATTTTCAAATATATTTTTGTGAATTTCGACTCAATTTATCGATACAAAAACACTACAAGTTTATGAAAATTAAACAAAACCTTTTACATGCCAAATATAGTTACAAATGAAAATTTTTCTGATTTTATAAAGAAAATCAGAGTTCTCAATAACTTGAGGTTATGTAATGTTACTAAATGACTTTTAGATATAGACCGACGATATATTGAAATTACGAATCAAATAATCATCTTCCTGAAATGAATAAAGATAAAGAAAATTATATAACAAAAGTTTTTGTTTAATTTTACTATCTGTTTTAAATTAAACACACACATTTACATATATTACAAACTCATTTAATTTCATTTACACTTACATTCGTTAATTTTTTTAGTTAATACTTTCCTGAATTTCATGATTTTTTTTTTTTAAATTACATTTAATACAGTTTAAAAGTCTACTCAATCTACAGCTATAGGGAGGTAGTACGTATCCAAAACTTAAAGATGATCGATTAATATATTTTAAAAGTCAATGTTCTTGTATTTTTTATTATGACTGATTGATTGATTTTTTATAAAGTTGTAATTCTTTAAAACTAAATTATTCTCTCAAATTCTTTTTCAAAACTTATGAGTAAATCCATTCAATCAAACAATTTTATTTATCGTACGTTTGCTTGCTTGTATTTTTATGTACGACAATTCCGATCGTAATAAACTTTTAATAAATGAAAGACTAAATTTGAGGATATTTTTTTAAATTAAATTTTCATAATAAAAAAATATATATAAAATTTGTATGTACACAAATAGACTGCAAAAATAACAAAAAAAATATGTGCTGTGAAGGCTTAGTATCACCTACGCCGCTGGATGTATGGTAATATTGTACAATGTAGTATTTAAAATAGTTCAGATTAAATAGTTCAATAGCGTTATGTAAGTTCTATAATTTGCGATAAACAAATAGGAGTTAGAAAAATAACTAATTTATGTATCTTTTATAAACTAGTTTTTTCAACTCCCTGTCGCTCACTCCTGTTTACAAACAGAATTTTACCAAAGGCAATGGTAGTGGAATCAAGAAAACCAGTTTTCTTATAATCACAAACATTTATGCATAACATCGCTGGACTTAGGTTTTATTGTTATTTTAGCCTAATTAATCTATCTATACTTTTTTTTATTGTTTGTTAATTAATTATTTGAATGTAATTTTTTTTTTACATGTAATAAATGATATGAAAGAAAGGACGACTGAACAAAATACAGGACAAAAACATTAGTCATAATAAATATGACGAATATAGGAGATACACCGTAAATAGATTTATGCTATAACTCTTAAAGACATGAGAAAATAATTCTAATCTAATGAGAAGCAACCAACAATCAGAAATTATAACTAACTTGAGTATACTCATCTCTTATCTCACTATCACTACAAAGAACCTCTTTGAACCGAATCTAATTATGAATGGAATGCATAACAAAGGAACAGATTCTTCCCGTGATTTCGACACATCTTGTATTTATCTTAGGCGATCTCCGCGGAGGTATAATTATACTAATATAATTATAACCATAAGTATCTTTACATATTTACAACTAAACAAAAACATGGAAGCAACTTCCTTAAAAACATTTGTACATTAGTAATAACCTGTGTTGGCATGTTTAATCAATCATAAGATGTAAATAATTTAATTTTCATTATTATGTTTATAATAATATTTATAAAGTGATAATGAGCAAAGAAATAAATTGTTTTTTGAGGTTTTATTAAAATCCATTAATATCAGATACTGTTTTATTTTATTCCATTCTCTAATTCATATAGATATATATATATATTTAATGATGTATTTATTTATATCTTTTTTTATTTTTCCTTCATAATAGAAAAAAAAATATAACAACTTAACAAATTTTGTTATCAATGCAGTGTGGCATAGACCAAGGCTGTAACGTCACCTGTCGTCTAAGGTCGCGTACTTACACTAACTTCCACTTGTCAACCTCTGAACTGTCATATATTATTATTATTTACATTATTTTTCAGAAAATTAAACATAGATAAATTAAAATGCGGTTTTATTTGTTATTTTTGCTGTATAGTAAATAAACTCAAAATAAGAATTTCATTATCAACGTTTATCAGCAAGTTACGAATAATTTAATCATAAATTTTTGTCACGAAAAATAAATTTATAATGATTATAAATATTTTAAAGTGATGAATATTCCGAGATTGTTATTGTTTAAACATTGAAGGATGGTAACCAATTTAATAAAACAAGGGTACTCACATCATTGTCTTCTAGGTAGCTGTAGACTTCCAGCTTATCTAAGCGAATAGTTCCTTGAAACGGATAAATAAGTGTCCCTTGAGGAATACGAGCATTGGTCCAGACATTGACGCACATCTCGGGCAGCTTCTTCTTCATCAGGCGTCCATCGGAGGCCGTCAAGACGAGTGAGAACTCTTGAGGAATCAAAACACACGTCTCCATCTTCGAAATTTGTTAAACACGAGGGCTTAAAGCCGAATTCTTATAACATAACTGTCCAGTGACCTGCAGTTGGTTGGAGACTTCAACGCACAACTGACGGAGACTTAAATGCCGAGGTTCACGTTTATGATTAAAGTAAACAAACGAGATAAAAAAATAATAATAATAATAAGCGATGTTTACAAATAAAAATATAAACAAAACAAAAACACGAGTTCTAGGAGGGGAGAGTTGGAGACGTGGTGCCGAAGCGCTTCTAAGACGACTACTGTTTCAAGTGCAAGGTCTGGAGCCGTGGTGGAAAGGAGCCAGGTGGGAGGAGCTAAGCTTCCCGTCTTGGACCAATCTGGTTCGACTCGCCTCTCCTCCTGGCCAATGGCGGATCATCCGACCTTAGCGAGACCATTCAAACCTTTTTTCGACTCAGTGGCTGAAAGAGGTGGAGGGGGAAGGCTTCTGGTCTTGTATTGTTTATTGCCCTCGCCGAGAGAACACCCTCCGCCTCAAATACTACACAAGTCGTACCTCTCCTTCCCTCTCTGTCTGTCTTTATATATATATATCTCCTTCTCTTTCTCTATTCCAATCCAATTTACGGAAGTTGTAAAAATAAAATCACATTTTTTACTCTAAGTAAGTCAGATCCGTGTTGGATTGTTTTATTTATTTATTAAAAACTTTCATTTATTTATTTTCAACCACTTACGGGTCATTTTATCCCTTAAACAATTTGACTCTGCCATGGTGAATTTGAAGTTACGAAACAATTAAATTATAGAATATTTTCAATAAACAATTAACAAGATACAATACATTAAACAGTTAAAAAAGATTGACAAAAAAAAAAATTGAATTTTGGGATATTGTTGATTTTTTTCATTAAAAAAAAAATATATTTTTTTTACCATCTTTGTGTTATTTTTGAAGATTGTAATAATATAATTTTCCCATTTAACTTCATTCCAATGAACTTCGTATGTATAACTCTCTGTTAAGATGTGGGACATCGTTAAATGTCTTTTTTATTTTTTTATGGACGAATTATAATAAACGTGTATATATTATTCAAGAAGTCTTTTCAAAAAATTGTTATTTCAATTATATTAGTACTATTTTGTTATTCTTATTAACATTTCAAAAACAAATAAATTCAGGTGAGAGAATACTTTATTTAACTATTAATTTTTTTTTAATATTCACTGATACAGTAAATATACCATTTAATAGCAATATTATTGCATTTTAAACATCAATGCTCCTGAATACCATTAGTTATGCTCTAAATGTACCATCTAAGAAACTCGACGTCCCATTTTTTTAATTTTTTTTTATGGCAGGCGGAATAAAGATTTTACATATATGTTGAACGAAGGAGTTGACCCATAAAAAAAAGTGAGAGGTTTGCGCCAAATTTTCTTTTGGATGGTACATTATAGTGAATACAATTGATTGATGTCTACAGTTACTTGATGAGGCACACCCAATTCAATGTATAAATTAAACTTTAAAACAGCAAAAATCAAGAAGAAGTAGGGAATAACAAGTTAGAAGAGAATCGGATGAAATATTATTTTCAAAAGATTAAAGAAAAAACATCTACTTACATTGAACATAAGACAAAACAAACAAACACAATCGTTTAGCTTGTGATATATTTATTTCAAAGCAGAAATATATTAGAAACATAAATAATTTCCAACACAATTAAAGACATAAAATATTAAACTCTTAAAGATTAAAGTATTTATTTTTCAATATAAATAAATTCTAGACTTTTTTTTAAATCTCAGATTATAAATTTGTATTAAGAAATCAGGAAACCACAATTTTAATATAATATAATTAATATTATAAACTATTGTTAGAAGACTAACATACATCATTAATAGAAATAAGATGATATCAGGGTAAAAGTGATTAATATCTAGAGTCATTTTCTGTATGTTAAAAATATACATATATTTATAAATCTTTGGAGTTCACATGGTTATTAAATTCTGTAAAACAAAATAAGTGTTGTATTCGAGAGGTATAAAATTCATGACAATCATTCATAACCATTTATCATTTTCTGGATGAGTCTTTGTGTACATACACATATATATAATTATAGGTATTTATCAACCAATACGACAAACTATATCAATAGATCGTAATTATAACGTCGAAAAAAAATATTATTCTCCCTCCCAAAAAATAAGCAAAAAAATAATTAAAAATACGTTCCAACAATAATATGCCGGAAATCATTAGAATGAAATCTTGAATATCATGATTACAATAAATAAATTTGATAAAATACTAAACAGCATAAGATTATTTGTCATCTATTTATTTTTATTTTATTTTTTGACCGAGGTCTAGAATAATAAATAAACGCATTAAAATTGATGTTTTGATTTTTTTGCTGACCGTAAGAATATTAATAATTTTGATGAAATGGTATAGGATATCATATAATTGTAGTATAAGCGTATTCGATAGTAAGAAAATATTTTTTTTTTAGTAATCCAAATAAATGATAAGTCAAGTTAAAGAGGACCTCTGCTTTAGACCTAAGAAAGACTTCCGTTAAATCAAGAATAATAAAAAAAATAAATAAAAAAATTGAATAATAGAAGCAACACTTTTCAATATGTAACATTATAAAAATGATAGGTTTAAAACATATTTGAAATAAACAATTGCTACAAATTACAAAGGGTATTAACTTTTATTCAAAACGTTACCGCAGTCAATATGAACATATTTAAAAAAGTAAAATAAAAATAGAAAAAAGTAAATTATATTATAACCACTGCTAAAATCATAAGAAAACTATTAAAATGCTGAGTAATGCACTTTTTAAATTTCAATCCGTTTTTTCATCAATTAGACAAAGTTTTAAACTTCCACCCATTCTCAATTCTAAATATATAATAAATCAAATGACAAAAAAATGCATCAGAAATATTACTGATTAAAAAATGCTTTCTATAATAATAATCTTGGAATGATTCAGTTTATTTCAATAAATTAAAACTAAGAAACGTCATACGATATATAAATTTGTGAAATAGCCTGTGAAACAAGAAATATTTATGAGGAAGGATATGGTCCGGGATGGCGGTCATAAATAGACTAACATAGTGGCAAGACTATTTTATTTCAAGCCAACGTTTCGGTCCGACATCGCAGGTTTCTTCAGGGAGGTGTGTTCAGCAAAGAGTTTTAGTTGCAACGGAGTTGTGTGAGTTTTAATTCCAACTAAGTTCAGTTGGAACTAAAACTCCTGGCTGAACTCACCTCCCTGAAGAAGACCTGCAAAGTTGGGTCGAAACGTTGGCTTGTAATAAAATAGTTTTGTCACTATTTTAGTCAATTTATGACTGCCACCCAGGACCATATCCTTCCTTAAAATACAACAATCAACTATTAAGTATTCAAAAAATATTTATCTGTCTAAGCTCATCACTAGTGGTGCCCACAAGGGAGTTTCATGGCACAAGTTGCCCGATCACAATTTTTAAGGGGGTACATATTGACGGGATTTTGAATTTTTGAGGGGGCACATTTCGACATTGTTATGAATTTTCGGATTAAAAAATTCAAACAAGGAGCCGAATGGAATACATGAAACACACTTTAGCAAGTGTAATTGTATATGATCTAGGGTACTTTAATTTCTAATATTTTTAAGAAGAGGAGAGCAATAAAATATCTTGAGGGGAGGGGGGAGGTTCATGCTCCATCGACGTTGGGGAGAATGGGCATCCCTGCTCATCACACACATCTAATCTGTAGATATAGTCAACTTTAAATCATTACAATAATAATCATAAGACTACTTATGTTGTTACATATTAATCTGAAATACCAAACTGTTTGTTTATTGCATGAATAATTTTAATATAATTTTTAGAGAGTATTTTTCTTATTCTGTGTATGATTTAGAATATTTATTATAGATTTACAATTATAGAATAGAATATAGGCAGGAAAGTCCGAACGTTCTAATATGAATTATAAAACGTATTGAAATTTGAAAGGTGTTTTATTTTTCTGAAATTCAGTATTTTCATTAATTGGTACTTTTGTGCAGATTAACAAGGCTATTTTTATATTAGTATGGTAATTCTGTATTGAAACCTTCCTTGGGAAGTTAATTTTTAAAAGTAGAAATTTTTATGAATTTTTCCTTTTTTTCTATAAAAAGGTATTTCTATTATCTATATTACAAAATGTCTATTAATTCATACTTTCATTCACTTTATCAACCATGAAAAACATTTAAAATAAATTACTTAATAATTGCAAGCGTATTATCATGAATGCTAATTATCATACCCTACAACTTTTTTATCAACGAATATTTTCAGAAAAGAGGCATTTTTTCATAAAATTAATTAATTTAATGAGGAACTAAAACCTCATAAACACACATTTGCTTTTCACTTCAATCAAAAGATAATTTGATCACAAGATCGAAAAAGAAATTTACATAAATATTGGTCCGTTTGGTCTATATAACCTCATTATTTTGACATGTGAGGGAGAGGGGGTGGAGGGGATGGAAGTAACACCAAATGGCCCAATATATTTGTAGGCCACATTTTCTCTCGATTTTGTGATAGAATTATTTTATGATTCAAAATGGGTGTTCATGAGTTTTTATTTCCTCATTATATTGACAAAGTTAATCGATATCCAGATGCAAACATCCTATTTTCGATAATTTTTGCAGATAAAAAAGTTGTAGGTTAAGCCATTCATGAAGTTTTGGACTGATTTTAATAATTTGATAAAAAAAAAAGAAGTATGTGAACGGCGGATTACACAGGTTACCTTAATTCTTAATGACCAAACTCTGTGGAGAGGAGGACGATTCAAGACAAAATTTCCAACAAAAAATTCATTTGATTTATGGGCCGATTTCGAACGGAAAAAGAGTTAATTCCCATTTTCTCTTTTCTTAAGGTGGTCACGTTTTCTCTTTCATGAAATGATGACACAAAAAGTAT